TGAGCCTACATAATATTTAATATTTAAAAAAAAAGAAGTTAAAATGTTAAATCAATCATTCTTTTTCACTTGATATGATTAGTCAATAATTGAGTTAGAAAATTCAAATTTGTTTTAAAAGACAGAGGTAGAATAAAATAAAACTGTAGAATTTCCTGGATTTTGCATGCAAGCCTAAAAAAAATATTAAGGAAAAATACATTTTATTAATAAGTTAATTTTTCTGATGATAAATTGTTTGCACTGAACATATTTCATTCTAAAAATATCAATTTTATTCTAGGTCAACAGAAATTAGTTCCTTTTGGTAAAATACTGGAACCTGCAATATGTAATGCAAACAAAAGCCAATCAAAATATGAGCTTCTGCATGGCCCATATTTGTAAATTCCATGATTAATTACAGAATATTTGTTAATATAATAAATAAATATAATAAATAACACAAAATAATTAAAAAGATTGAGCAGCTAATAAATATATACAAAGGAGTGCTGACAAATTCTCAATCCAACCAATAAGCCCTTCCTAAAAAAAAATCTGATGTTGGGTCAGATATTAAGAAGGGTGCCAGGCCAATAAGTTTTCAGCACTCCCTTCACATAAATTTAGTACATTTTTTAATATAATTTCAGTCCAAGTAAGGCAATAAAGTCACTAATGTCCAAGGAGTTACTGAGAGTGATGTTTGTAGAAAGTGTGTGTGTGTGCGTGCATAATTATTAGTAATGAAATAAAATATCTCACTTATCTGTACTGAGTTTCACAGATTTCTTTTTACATCCAATCATTGAAAGATTTTATAATATATATGCATACATACCCAATTATATAAAAGTCCATTGATTTTTAAGAAAGATGTTTTGTTCATTAATAAAAAATAATTCTTTAAAAATCAGTTATTCAGGAAACAGAATAACATAAAATTTCAAAAATATATTTTACTTATGAACATTTCATTTCAATGTCTTTATTCTTGAAAATAAAGATATTGAAAATAAGTAAAAATAGTTCTCCTTAATCAGAATGATAGATAAAGTTCAGGAATTGTTTATAAGTAATGCACTACTTACATATATTTATAAGTATATAAGAGGCCTGTTGTTGTTGTGTATCAGCATGGAGAGTGGATGATTGCATGTGACTAAGTGTGGGCCAAGCAAACAGCAGATGAAGAGAAAATGGAAAGGTCAGTAATAAATAGGCAAGAAGAGAAATGGCTTGGATGGATATGAAGAATGCTTCATTGTAAAGAATTCAATATGGATTCCACAGAACATGGAATTGGTAGCAAACAATAGAAATGATAAGAGGAATCAGTTTCTGGTTTTGCTGAGAAAAATTCATTTGTTGAAGTGAATACACCATGTGTGTTCTTTGCATTGAATAACAATGGTCATTTAAGTATCATTCCCACCCCCCACAGAAATTGTCAGTGAGGGGGATCAGGAGTACATTAAAATCTCATTATTTGGCAACCATAGAGATAAGGAAAAAGAGAAAGAACTCGGATATTCCACAGATCAGTCTGTACACACACATTTTCATAAACATATTTTTCTTAAAGTGTACACATGTAGAGATGTATTTTGTGTACAATTTCAAAAATTACTAGCATATATAATGCCAGACAGATATAAGAGAAATGCACACATTACACATGTGGATATATAATTCATTCTATAGACAGAATAAAGGGAATCTATTATTCTTTTCTACACAAGTATATATACCATATATATTCGTGTATCATGCAACTTTTGAAGACCTAATTTCAAAGCTAATTTAACTACAATAAACAGATATATAGTTTGGTCAATGGTGTAGCAGGGCCAGCAGTACATTGACTAATTTTATATTTCATGTTTGATGTGACCCCCTTAAAATTATCTTCAAAATTAGGTCTTCAATAGTCGTATTGATACACAAGTATATATACGGTATACACACACAGGCAACTATTCATATGCATGTACAAAATATGAGTGTATCTATATAAATATACACACACAAATAGTGAAAACTGAGTGCATAAACATGCCAAGAAAGGGGATGAATTTTTTTTTTTTTCTTTATTAATCCAACAGATTTTTATCACATTAAATGTTGTTTTTAGTGGATACTTGTAATTGAGTAGATGCCCCATTTATGTATTAAACAATATATTAATAAGAAAATCTTATTAGAGAAAAATATGCACTCTCCTAAGACTTTTTTGAATTTTCAGGCGAGTAGACGAAAATAAATAAACGGAGCATCTACTCAAATACAAGTATCCACTAAAAATAACACACACATTATTTTGCAAAAATATTTTTTACATCATTTATTTTACAAAAAATATTTAAAAACAGAAGTTATGTGCTACTTTTTCAGAAATTATATAATTTCTGAAAAACTAATACATTTTTACTTCTGCTTCTAAATATTTTCTGAGAAATAAAATCTTTACATTTGCCTTGATAAAGTTTATCAGACGAGAAAACACATTGGCTAAGAT